AAAGTGTTTTGAGTGGAGAGGATTACCAGGCAGGTGAAGCTCAAGGAAGTAAAGCTGAGTACAAAATGCATGGGACTGACTGCAGTTAACGTATGATTCTAATAATAAATCAGCATCTTAAATTCAACAGATGGAGTACTATTTTCTGTATGTGGGGTTTTTTTGCAGTATTTAAGACCTTAGTATCAGTTCTTTTAATCAGTTTTATAACTCAAAAAATGGGTGCACTCCATGTAAGGCATGTTCCTTGTGTTACAAGTCAGTGGTTGGGGTTGGTTTTTTTTTTTTTGCTTTTAAAAAGATGTCTCATGTATCTCTCTGAAAGAGCATAAAAGGAAATCTAACTGTGTACCTTGTCAATGACGGCGTATTTCCTAATATGCTATTTCTTTTGAGGTCACTGTGGTGTAATAAATAAAGCCTGATAGAGCAACAATGTTCTGCCTGGCTGTGTTATGAAATACAGGAGTACTCCAGCTGAATGCTGACCCTTCTAATTCTGACGGCTTTCAGAGATGGTAGCTTTTAATCTAGGCCCACCTCGTGGCTTTCATTGCCTTTTAAAAAGGCTTGAACTACATGGAATATTCAACTATAATGCTGTCTTTAAGGCCATGTACGTTACAGTATTTTAAAAAATATGCGTTGCTTTTTTTCATTGTGCATTGTGGCATGTGAGGCTGGATTTTAAAAAGTAATATCTTTTAATCTGTAGTAATGATGATTCTGTGTATGGAATGAGTGAATATCGTATAGGTCTCTGTAAATTCTCAGGCTGTTATACTGAGCTTCAGTCCAGCCCTCAATATTTGCTAATGATTAATTAATCTGACACTTGGCAGCCAATGCTGTTCAGGGAATCAAGAATGTATTTGTGGTGAGCTGGGCTCTTGTCTGGTGACACATCTCTGGCTATAAAAGCAGAGCTAGTGTGCCAGGTTGAGGATTCACCTGCATCTGGATGGTCAAGTTATTTGTGCGCCAGTACATGAGGCTTTGAAGCACTTTGAGGTTTGTTGTCGATGATGCAACTTGGAGAACGAACAGCAATGCACTGATGCCAACTCACAGACCTGTTTTACTGGAGTGAGTGAAAATCGGGGGGTTCTCTTGTCAAAGCATGAAATCCTAGTCCTCAGGCATATGAGCAAAGTGAGTTCGGGGCAATCTTTTAAAGCAGTTCTTTTCGTAGTGTTCTTTGCTTCTTCCAGGTATATAAATGCAGCAATGTCCTGCAAATTAATTTTTAAGAACTTTCTAGTGCTCAAAGGATTTTTGTAATTCCATGATGGGTTTTCCACGTTTGTGTTTTTGGGAAAACCACTGTCTGCTTCCTTCACGTTCTGTAAGTGATGACTGGGTTTATACCGCTGGTGAGTGTAATGGAAGAAGGAAAATCTCCTTAGCAGACCAGAGTCAAGACATGGCTCTGTTACAAAGTTTGCCATAAGCTGCCCTAGGCAAGAGCAACGTGATGCATCTGTCCCACTGCCAGAATGAGCTATATAATGTTGAATATTGAGACATTGTTTAGATCTGTCCCCTGAACTCATGAATCTCTGTTCTTATTTACAGTAGTACTTGGGCAGCAGTGGGTGAGGGCATGGAATGAGGCAGATAGAAAGGAACAAATGTAAAATACAGCAAATTCCCAAACTTCTACAGTTAATATTTTTAGCGAATGCATCACTGTTTCTTTGTGTTGACCACCTGCTGTTTTCACTCCTCTTTCTCTGCATGCTCGGTATTTTTCTCCCATCTGTCCCTTTCTCCTCAGCTGTAATGATGGGACAGAGGTACTATCTCCTGAGTCTTCATCTTCTCAGAGCTTGTATGAAAGCAACCTCATTGCTCCATTCCTCCCTAGCAGTATGTATGTGTTCATGTTTCTTTCTCCTCTTCCCTTCCCTCATTCTTTCTGTGCTCTGTATAGATAGATATATGTACAGTAATGTGCTATCTCTGATGATCTAAGTAGAAATACTACATACACAAGGTATGAAATAGAGTCAATATTGATCCTTACATATATATGTACATATAATAATATATAAAAGTTGGATGCCTAGTACCTTTCACTGTACAAGATTCTTTGGGTAGTCCTTTTATGATGTGAAATAACACATTCTTTATTGTAACTGGCCCTTCAAACTCTGTAAGGAAAGCTTTTTAACAAAAAACCCCAACATTTTCTTCATGAAATTCTGTTAGGATCAACTGTGCTTTGAACTGTTAAAAACTGTCATTTCTGTTGAATGTTGTCCTCAGGAGATATTTTGAGTATGTTAAAATAATGTCTAGAGAGAAAAAGTAGCAAGAATAGCATCTGCTATAGTTGGAGGGTCTGAGAACATGGATCTGAGTCCATCCGCTGCAGGTCACCGCCTTCCTCTCCTGATGTGCAGGCTGCAATGTGAAAAGTTCATGGTACAGACTACTGCTGGAGGAGGGGAGGAAGCAAATGTTACTGTTAACGGTTTACTGTTTTCTAGCAGTACCAGCCTTGGAAATTTGTACCAAAATCCCCCCTAGAACAGATGACACTGCAATTAATACAATCTCTTTTTTTTCCCCCTCAAGTTAGGAAATACCAGTGCATTCCCTGTGTGTGCAACTCAGTTTTTGTCACCTCTGCAAGTACTTTATGATGTAGCCTTTGGATTTAAATATCCTTAGCAACAAACTATTTTTTCACTAAAGTATAATTTTCTCTTTTAGCGTGTAGGTTAGACACGAGACCAAGAATTGCTTTGTCTGTGCTACGAACGTATGCCCAGTACATGGAGCAGACTCAGCATGCTAAGTTCATCCACATTGCTGGATATTAAAAAAAAAATGACTTGCTGCTCAGATTCAGAGCTCTCACAGGACGTGATAATGACTTTAATATATGTGAAAACTGCAGCAGGGTAGTAGGGAGCTGTTTGTTCTCCATGTCCTTATTGGATAGGGCAAGAAGTGCTGGCCTTAAAATTGCAACAAGAAAGATTCAGATTAGGCTTTTAGTGAAACTTTCCAAAGGCAAAGACAGTAAAGGACTGAGACAGTTTGTGTGCAGAGACCATACATTTTTTGAATATTTTAATGGATTAGATAAATATCTGTCAGGGACCAAGTACTGATTCATATCTTAAATGTTGCCCTTTCCAATACAACAAATTAAAGCTTTGTGTGTAGAAGAGCTCAGCTGGAGATAAGTGATGTTGAAGTGAGCTGGCATGAAACCAGCCCTGCTTGTGCCTAGTACATCCAGACCAGTTGGAGGAAAGATTGGGTTTATACTAAGGCACAATGCAAGAACTTAATCCCTAGAACAGCCCAGAGCTTTAGGTAAGCCTGTGCCTGCCAACACGCTTGCATGCAAGTGGTATGATGGCAGGGGAGTCTGGCTTGGACCTGGGCTTGATTGATGGTCTTTTTATATCTTTTAGGGTTACTCTGGCTGCTGTAAATCTGCATTTTCCAAATTTCAAAAGTTTGGTTGCAAACATTCTTTTCAGTATAATATTTTTTCAATATGTGTTGCCACATAGCTGGCAAGATTTGATATTCTGCAGTATTTGCACAGTTCCACTAATTTGAGATCATGATGTTGAGTCCAGTGGATGTGTCCGAAGCGGAAAGTTTTACCCAACAGCAATAAAGGATGTAAAGTGAGCATAATCCCAGTTGTGAGGTGTGCTTTGAAAATAATGAGCAATCATGATTAGTTTAACCCTTACTTTCTTATTTTGGAATTTATTTGTTGTTGTTTTTCCTTTCTTGTTACCAACAATGAAGAAGATACTTTCTATAAAAATCTATTTATCTTATTTATTAAGATGGAGAGACTAAAATGAGCAGTGAATGTGAGGGACAATTTTATGTCTCCAAGTCTTACCCCAGTATTGCTTTTTGAACAAGCTTTACTTTGAGTTTCTAGCTGCAGGTGTAAACTAGCCAGCCATTTCGACAGCCCACAATGTAGCTGTATGAAGTAAGCCAAATTCCAGTCCAGGTCCTCAGTCTTCCCATGTGAGTCTGCCTTATTTTGGGGATGCTCTGGAGCCACCGCAGTGCGTGTGTGTGAATTGAAGTGAAAGTTTGCTGGAAGACTGACCATGGAAGCAGAAAAATGTTCATATGTGTATTTATTTGCTAGCATGCTTTAGTACTCAGGCACTCAACTGAAAAACAATAGCAGGTAAACCAAAAGTTGGGCAGAAAGAATTGAAAGATATTATTATCTGTTTTAACAGAAGATCATATAGTAGGGAGAAGTACAGGAGAAAAGAAATGAAAACATAGTTTTATCAACCACCCTTTGATATTTTTCTCTAAGTCCAGCTCTGAGACTGTTGTGGTTACATGAGAACTCGTGGCTTCCTGAAAATCTATGTGTCTGTAGGCTGAAAGTCTAGAAAGAAAATAGAAAGCATGACAAATATTAAAAGCAATGGATTTAGAAATAGAAAATGTTGATTTTAAGTCAGAAGATGCGTTACTGGCAAAGTGTATCGTTTGTTCCTAGTAAACTGCATGGTGCAGAGAGTCCATTTCAGCAAGGACAATGTATATCTGGGATATAAAGAAAGGCATACTTAAAATATCGTTGGGAGGAGGAGAGGCCAAAGGTATTCCTTCATTTCTTAGAGGAGACTGGGGCCCCTCTTAGCAGGGAGATTCACGGATTAATTAGGAGTTCAGGTTTTAGGCCATTCATTACAGGTTTCAAAACGACTTTCTTCCGTTCTCCACCTGTCATGCACACAGCTGCTCGGTTAGACACTTAGCATGGTAAGTGCATGCATACTTCCCTGTTATAGCCTGTAAATTTGTGCTATACATTGATTCCCAGATCAAGACCTTTAGCAAACAGCAGCAGCTTCTTTGAACCTTGAACTTGGAGGGCTGACCTAACTGAAACTGCGAGCTGGGGAAAGACTTGTTCACTTGCTGAAAAGGGTCTGATAGGTTGTGGTATTTCCCACCCCACTCCTCTGATCGATTCTCTCTCACAGGCAGGAATGGCATCTCCTGAAAATCCTGAGCAGTTGATCATTGCCCTGGAACCTGAGGCTGCTTCTATATACTGCCGAAAGCTCCGCCTGCACCAGATGATAGACCTGAGTAGTAGGGCGCCTGTCAACGGTTATAGCCCAAGTGACACTATTGGAACTGGATTTACACAGGGTACTACTTCTATTAACTCAGTTCTTTAGATTCTTATGCCTAAATTTGCTTTGTCCATGAGGGCTGTTTTCTTACCATTTCTCATTGTCTTTGCTCTCTTGAAATGTTTCAGGGTAGCACCAATTTGCTTTTATAAACTGTTTTGCTGTTTACTGTAATTAGACTAGTTTAGGCATTGATCCAGCAGATATGTTCGCACACACTTGAATTTTAGCACGCAGGTAGCTTCATTGCCTTGCCTTTATTGGGATGTTGTGGGAATCTTACTATTTTCACAACACTCTTTTTCTGCCGTAATTAAAATCAATACTTCATATTGGATTTTTTTTTTTAATTTAATTTGTTGGAAACAATTATGTGTTCGATTAGCTGCATTATTGAAGCAGTGTTAAATAACTGGATCTGCAATGAGACTTTTAGTCTGAGGTGTTCCAGAGTTTTAGTAGATGCTTTTTGATGTCATCTTTATGAAATATCATTAATTGCTTTCAACACTCAGGGGAACACATAGTATTGGAATATAGCAATGAACTTACCTGAATTTATCATAGAAGAGCAACTAGATACGGCACTGCTGATTTATTGACCTGGGTTCTGTTGCTAATATCAGTGTTTGAAGACTGACTTACAATGAGGGACAGAGATTGGACCACAGCGTAAGTCACTTGCCAAAAGATCCGTCATCACCAAAGATTTTTGAGTTTGGTATCCTACCTGAGATTGGAGGAAAACATGAGAGAAAAAAAGAAATAAAATGAAGCAGCAGTAAGATGTGCTTGCTGCATAATGCACAGATTTCCCATCTCTGTGAACTGTAACAGTTCAGTTGCACTGATAGCAGTGGTAGTGTGCCAATCTATCCCAGAAGGAATTTTTGAGAAGAATTTATATTTTATCACATTTACTAGGTCAAAACAGTACGGGCAAATGGAAGATTAAGCTAGAAAAGCTATTCCTGTACGTACTGGAGGGTATTTTTTTTTAGTTAGGTGGAGTCACTACATCGTTCTCTCAAATCCATGCCTCAGCCTGCACTTGTCAGATGTGTTCAGTGTTAGAGAGGCCCACACAGAGCAAAGGACACAATCCCTTTACTAGACACAGTCCCTTCAGGGGCCCCTCGCCTTCTGTCCCCCCTTGTTCATCCCCTGAACCATTCCAATTCCTTGCGATTTTACATGAACTCACTTTCAGGCTACACAGGGATTTGCCTCTGGGAAAATAATAAGAGAGTTTCTCTGGTTAAGGTTTTGAAGCTGGGCAGAATCTGGCAGATCATGGATTTCTGCTAACGGGCTTTTTCTTGGATGGGGGGTACAATTCTCCTTGACTTTGGTAAAAGCTGTTGAAGATGAGAAAAATTTCATGTCAAAATTAATGAAAACAAAGTTTGGAGTGAATTAATTTGGGGTTAGAATTAAAATTTCATAAAGGCATGGCAGACACCCAAGACAAGCTGAGAACAGATTAAGGAGGAAAATCCTTTATATATACACAGAGAGAAGGACTCCAAGGACCACATTATTGCCGTGAAGTCAAAACAAAAATTTTACTGTTCATAGTAGCCAGGATAAGCTTACTTCAGTCGTAGTTAAAGACTGGCTCTTGCATTTGCTTCTAGCCCACAGGAGTGAATGAAAGGACTTCCATTGACTTCTGTGGGCTTTTGTCAGGCCCTTGCTTGGGCCTAGTGCTTGTTCTGTCATGGAATGCTTCGTCATTTAAGCTCTCACTGTGTGCCGCTAAGTCAGTGCAGCGAGGCTCATGCGACTTGTCTGCATCATGGGGTCTTTATGGGGAGAGAATGGGTGCAAGTGGAGCCGCTGGTCTTTCTCTGATGGTAGTCACTATAGAAAGGAGAAGCAAAATGCATTCAGTGATTTGCATGCTGATATTTTCAGAATGATATTTTCATGCATGAGAGGATACTTCTCTTCTTTTGTAATGTTTTATAGAAGTGCCTTTGAAAGTGAGTGAAGGTTACACAGGGGATGATTTTTGATTGTTCGGTTGTAGAGCTTGATTTAGAAGCATAATAGCAAAGAATCTCACTGCTCTGCTTTCCCTTCACAGACTGTTCTGCATCTTTTAAATGTCTAAGTAGCAATTAAGTCTTGTAAGTTAACTGATGTTATAATAGTATTGCTAGTTTATGCTTAATTTTTAATTGATGTCTATTTAAAAATATTCTGAAGGTCAGATGTGGTGATCCCCATGGCCTTAAGAAGTTATAAATCGGAGAAGCAGTGCTTTTGGCTGCTTGTTTTGAGACAGGCTGACATCCTGAAAGGCTCGGGAGGTGTCTTTACCTGAGCATCCAAAATCAGCGGTGGCTTTTGGAAACACAGGGATTTTCTGTCTCCCCGGCCCCCGGCAGCGCAGGTAGGGCTGGCAGCGGGCCGGGGCTGCCGCCTGGCGGCAGAGGCTGCGCCGAGCACAGCTCGGTTCCAGGCAGTGCTTTAAAAACCACAATGTATTAAAAAAATAAATCAGACCTGTTTATAGCTTTCATATTAGGTTATTGGTTTTAATCCAGTTAGCATCAAGGAAGATCAGTGTGGCTAAAAAACATTTTTCCTCCTTTTAAGGAACAACGTTATAATGTTCCCAATTCTAATGCAATAATTTCTGTTCATTTGTTTTGTTGAGAAGTGACACATATGGATCTGTCAGCCTGCTTGCACTTATTTTCTGCAGCTTATGGTACCTACTTCTTCATACTCTTATACTCAGTAATTTTTTTCTCTGTCAATGACTAGCTAAGGAACACGTCCGTCGTAATCGACAGAGTCGTACCTTTTTGGTGGAAAATGTCATAGGAGAAATCTGGTCCGAACTGGAGGAAGGTAGTGTTCTTTCTTGAATAAACTTTGCTCTTGCTGGTTCTATAGTGTGGGCAAACATTGTGTTTCCCACAAATGTGCTGTGCACTGCATTGTTCTCACAGTGACTATAAATAGGAAAAGAAAAAAATACAAGTTTGTGTGCTGCTCTTAGTTGCTAAGGCTGAACTGCGATTCTGTTTGCTCTAGCAAAATATGGTTTATTAAGGAGGTCGTAGAAAGCAATCCACATTTTAAAATGCAGCCCGAATATTTTCCTCAGAATAGGCCTTGTGAATATGCCATAGTATTAATTTGGTAGCCCACTAGAGTGTACACCAGCAGCATGAGCAATTCCACTGATCTGCTTTTCATCTGTGCTTAATCAGTAGTTTTTGACATCTGAATTTCATATTTGTTATCAATCATTGCATTATAATTACTAACAAAGACCAAGTCTTCAGCGTAGACATTCCTGACTTTCTGTAAGTCGTTCTCTCTCATGGTAATAATGCCTCTGAGAAGCTTTCATTGCAACATGCTGTTGTGATAATGCTAATGTAAATACTATTTGCCTATTCCTTTGCCAAACTAGGTGACCGTTACATCGTTGTTGACAGTGGAGGAGGCACAGTGGATATGACTGTCCATCAGATCAGGCTCCCTGAAGGACATCTTAAGGAGCTATACAAGGCAACAGGTAATGTCATTTCTGCTGCTTGCTTTATTTAGTTAATATTTTGACTTGCCAATGAAGGGAACGTGTGCCTTAATTATTCACTACACTTCACTAACAGTTCTTCCTATATAAGACCAGCATTAAAAATTAGTATAGCCTAGCTGCTGATCAGCAGACATTGGTAAATCACTTAATGCTTCTGATGCTTTTGGATGGTAAACCTCACATTGAGAGAGTGAGAAGCTGCCATCTCCTGTGTTACTCACTCCCATTCAGGCCATGACCTCCTGCCATGGTCCTGGTCTGACTTCTGCTAGTAGAGTCGTCATCTTCCTGTCCTTTGAGAGGTCATCTTTGAGAAGCCAGGTATTCAGAGATGTAGTGTGGAGATATGAATAGCTCAGTGTCACAACAAGATCCTTGTAAAGTGACTGCTGGCAGAACAGAAGTTTCCCTAAATTTGAATGGAATCTTATACATCCCAGTAATTTCACAGGCAGTGTGACAAGGAGGGTCTACCATCCCCTGGGAAAAATGCACAATGATTGATCCCCAACAAAGACATAAAGTGCAGTTCCTTGAATGGTATTCCCTTCCTGAACTCCACACCCCCTTTGACTTTGCCCTGTGGCTAAGCTGTTGAGCACATGAGTCAGCCTATTATTTGTTGCTATGTCTCTATACCAAGTTCATTTATATGGTTCATCACTGAGCCTTCTCAGTCTTGGTGGCTGTAAGACTACCTCAGGAAACAACAGTGTACATCAAGTCTGTCTACTCCTAAATACGAGTCCATCCTACACCTTCTCATGTGTGGATGAGGAGGCAGTTTCCTCTGCTTCTAATAAAAATGTTTCTGGTTTATACTGGCAGTGTTACAGTGGCTATGATAGTATAGGAGTAAAAGTGAGGTAGAGGTAAGATTATGTTATGTATTAGACCAGCTGTTACATTTAGGAAAGATACTTCTTTCTGTAGACCTTCTCCCATGATAGTCCTAGTAGTGTCGATCTGATGGTCAACTTGAAATCTAATAAGCAGTTCTGAATATTAAAGCTGTGTTTTGTTTGTAATACAGGTGGGCCATATGGTTCTCTAGGTGTGGATTATGAATTTGAAAAGCTCCTGTGTAAAATATTTGGAGAAGATTTTATTGAGCAATTTAAAATCAAGCGTCCTGCTGCCTGGGTAGATCTGATGATAGCATTTGAGTCCCGTAAACGAGCAGCAGCTCCAGACAGGACCAATCCACTAAACATCACTCTGCCTTTCTCCTTCATTGACTATTACAAGAAGTTTCGAGGTCACAGTGTAGAACATGCCTTGAGGAAAAGCAAGTGAGTAGACAATTGAACCCAAATGGATGCAGAATTAAGTACTGGTAGCAAAGACAAAGAATTAAAATATCCCAATAACATGTAGACTGAAAGATAACAATGTAAAAATGCAATATAAGGATGAGAAAATGAGGTTACCTGAAGTGAACTTTCGAGAATGAAAAGTTCTGATCAGTCTCTTGCGAAAGCTTTTCTATACAAGGCTTGTACTCTTCTGGTATTACTTTCTATGACTTCCATTAGGCCACCACTGCATCACTTTCCTGAATTTGAAGTCCCTTACCTGTTAATTAGGAGCATCAGATCAAATACGGAATTTGATGTCTAAAAGTTAGTTACCTAGAACCTTAATTTTAGAGGCCTGGGCTCTGGAACAAAAACAAGATCTTGAGTGAGATGTGCAAATATGTTCATGGCTTGAGGAAAGTTATTAACAGTACCAGGTCACTGGTGAAAACATATAGTACTGCAGAGAGCTCTGCAACGGGAAAGCATTCTTCTTTTGAAATGATGGCAGGCTTTCTTTTCTTCTAGTATTTTACCAGTTAGATAATTTCCTCAGTAGATGGGGAGACATAATCTCCTCCAGAGATTTTAATTCATGATTTTCAGTATCAAGAAGGCACCCTAAATGACAAGATCATGGGCTGCTATAGAAAAGGGAGGAGAAAGTAGAAGTGGGCATTTTCCATCTTTTGAAATGATGTACTACAGGTGACCTGGAGATTATTGGCGTAAAAGAGAATGAATAAGAGAGCCTCTTCTATGTTTTTTAATCCAGTGAATGTTGAATGTAGCATGCAGGCTGAAACTCCTGCGTCTCTTCTTAAAGTTATTGGTAAATGTAGTTTAAGCCTAAATGACTTGGAATCCAGCTCAGAGTCACTTCCTAAATGAGACTGAGGTTCCAAAATCATTAAAAGTTTCTGGAAATATTCCCCCTCAAGACCGTCTCCTTCTTATTAATAGTGTTAATGATGAATCTTAGAGGGAATGCTAAGTGTTCCCTTCAAATAAAATGAAATTAATTGGATAACGGGATAGGAAGAGTATAAAGGTGACACATAATGTGCATGAATGAAAAGGAGATTACTGAGCTATATGGATGTGTATCAGTGATGGAATAACATAATGCCTGTATTCACTTAACAAATGTTATGCCTCATTAAAAATGCTGGGCTCCCTTCTGCCTCCTAAGGCTTCCCATACTTGCTTATTTTCCTTCTGTGTTTCCAGTGGCTTTGGCCTGCCACTGCTATAGTCTAAACATTGCCCTTCTGGGGATGAATCAGTGCTGTTTCAGATGAGCGATCACTGGATTGACTGCCAGCTGTTTCAGGAAGCAGCTGAGCATTGGTAATGCTACAAAAGGCAATCAGGCAAAGAACACAACAATTAGGCAAGCAAAAATAACAATTCTCCCTTGAAAGTTTACATTGCTGCAGTTGGTGTGGGGCTAGGGTGAGGCACTTTCATCCAAGCAAGATGCATGCAGATTCTGTAAACTCCTTCATTTATTTATTTAGTGTGTATTGTGAGTGCTTGGCTGTTTCTTACAGCTCAGCTGTAATGTTTTAATGTCCTTTCTAACTGCTCTTTTCCAGTGTGGACTTTGTGAAGTGGTCCTCCCAGGGAATGCTGAGGATGAGCCCGGATGCAATGAATGCTCTTTTCAAACCTACAATTGACCAGATCATTCAGCACCTTAGTACGTATTTGTATGTAATTCCACGTTCTGGCTGAGGTTAAACTAAAGCTTGGCTTACCTGTTTTAAACCAGTAACTGGAATTAAAGTCAAACAACCCCCCTCATATGTACCAAATGTGGGCAAGGAATTTAGTTCTGAAACTTGTAGTTCTTTACAAAGTAGTTAGGAAAATAATAAAAATAAGGGACATCACCTTAACAGGTATTCCTACCTAGTTCTAGTATTAGTTACTGAGTGTGATTCAGTCCTCTTACTGCCTAAGCTTCAATTATTCTCTACTTCCAGGGCTGCAAGCATTCAGAAGGCTGAAATGCACTGACTAACCCAGACCCCTCTTTTCTTTTTCCTGTTTCAGGCAACAACTAAATAATGCCAGCGATGTAACTAGTTTCTGATTATTCCTGCTATTAAGACCTCTAGTTCATTTCTCCTCAGTGGAAGGTCACATTTGTTCATGACCGTCCAAATCACTGACATATCTAAAACACAAATAATAAATGATGCATCATGGTAAAAGTACTTCCAGGCATGGCTTAAGCAGCACTGAATTTATTTGTCCAGTAATGGAAAGTGACGTAGGCTTATTGGGAAATTTATTATTTAAAGTCTTCCTCGTGGAAGATTGGATTTGTACCAAGTGGAGTATAATATACGTACTGAGCAAAGTATTGTTGTTCTGCACATTACAAAGCACTAATTGAATAGTATTTGGAATGGAATATCCAGCTTTGCTCACTATATGTGACGAATTATTGGGTAAATTTCAGACATCACAGCTTAGTAAGAAAACTAATACGGAACAGCTTATATGTGAGCAGAGAGGGAGAGACCTGGCATTACAATAGTTGTAACAGATAACTCAGTCATGCTGCCTCAGTTATTTGAACTAAGGGTGAGCCTACAACTGAATTGTATGATTTTCTTGAAAGTAGGGGATGTGGGCTTAAGTTAAGAAGGAACATCTGTAAAAATCCAGGGAGGTATTATTTTGCAGATGGTACTTATTGTGGTTAAGACATTAGGGTTAGAAATAGTAAGTGAATTTAAAATGGAGTGACTTATCAGGAATGCGATAAAGGGTGTGTGAATCGGTTAGGTTTGGAAGTGATACTTGAAGTGGCAAGATGACGTCTGTTTCCCTACTACCCATAACGTGACTGGCAGGATTTCTTTGCAAGAAATCCGTGTCTCCCTTTACTGGTAGAAGCTAAACAAAAATTCTGTTTTAAATGCCACTTCAGAAATATTATATGCTTTGAGGTAAATTTCCATTCACAGTGAAATAGAGTATAGAAGAGACTACAGAAGTGGAACTAGTGCATGCTGAGAGTGGCAGTGTGGGCATAGATCTGGCAGTTTCAGATCATATGCATGTGCATGGGACATGCAGTGCAGTCAGACATTCAGAGTTTCATCTGCATTGTGTTCTCACAGTGGATTTTTCCCTACTGAATGGGTTCTGTTTCTATTTAGGTGATGTATTTGATAAGCCAGAAGTGACCAATGTCAAGTTTCTGTTCCTGGTGGGTGGCTTCGCTGAATCCCCCTTGCTCCAGCAAGCTGTCCAGAGCGCTTTTGGTTCGAGATGTCGAGTCATCATTCCTCAGGATGTGGGGCTCACTATCCTCAAAGGAGCTGTTCTCTTTGGTCTAGACCCTGCTGTCATCAAAGTGCGGCGTTCACCTCTCACCTATGGTGTGGGTGTGCTCAATCGGTTTGTGGAAGGGAAACATCCACCAGAGAAGCTTCTAATCAAAGATGGCACACGCTGGTGCACTGATGTCTTTGACAAATTTATCTCAGCTGACCAATCTGTAGCCCTTGGAGAAACTGTGACACGCAGTTACACACCTGCCAAACCTTCTCAGCTAGTAATAGTGATCAATATCTATAGCTCAGAACAAGATAATGTTAGCTTCATCACCGAATCTGGAGTGAAAAAGTGTGGCACCCTTCGCTTGGATCTCACGGGAACTGATGCTTCAGTGCCAAACCGGCGGGAGATCAAAACACTTATGCAGTTTGGGGACACTGAAATCAAAGCCATGGCCATTGATGTTGCCACTTCTAAAAGTGTCAAAGTTGGTATTGATTTCTTAAACTACTAACAGCCCATTTTCCCCACCACAGCCTGTTTGTGAGACTGATCTTCCACTATTTCATGTTTTGACTTTCATATATCTCATAATCAACTTGAATTTCAGCAGGCTATATGAGAACAGCTAGTAAGGTGGGGTATGTCATGTTTGTGCCCTTTGATGACCAAAGGCTGGATGTTGAAAGACCCTTGAAAAGTTTTGGGAGCAAAAGTTCCAGAGGTAGTAAAAGTTCCCAAGTTACTCAAGCATGTGTAAAGATATACCTTTATTAAGTAAGTACTGATTATTGTTGGGTCCTGAAGATTAGTTAAAAAGATATAAAATCATAACCTCTTTGCCTTGTTGTTCTTCTCTTCTTCCTCCTCCTCCTCCTCCTCTTCCCAAGAAAAACTCATTAACCCACATGGTTGTTGTAGGGGGCATATCTGCGTGGGGTATCTGTTTAAACAGCACCATGCTCTGGTAATGGGAACAAATTAGTAGCCTATAGTATTCTTTTGTTCTTTTGATTTTTCTCTGTGCTTTCAAAATTTTGAGTGCTGAAAATCAATAATTTAAAGAAATGGGAACAGAGTTTCTTAAATTCTGAGATCCTACTGAAAAGAAAATCCTCAGAAATCCTTAAAATTAGATTTAGGAAATATATATATTAGGAGCCTAATTGATTGCTCCTATTAGAAAACAAGGGCTTTATTGTCAAAGCTCTCAGAGCAAGCTGTTGGATTGAACAGCTAGCATTAGCCTTGTTATACTTTGGGAAATTATTAAGAATAAAGCTATTTTGCTTTTGGGTCTTCTAATCTTATTTTTATTAATCTCCATCTGAAATCATAGAAACACAGAATAGTTGAGGTTGGAGGGGACATCCACTGACTCTCTGGTGCAACCTTTCAGCTCTAAGCAGTGTCAGCTGGAGCAGGATGCTTTGTCCAGTTTTGAATCTCTCCAGAGACGGAGACTCCTAAACTCTGGGCAACCTGTTCCAGTATTTGACAACTCTCAGTGCAAAAGAGTTTTTCTTATGTTTAAAAGGAATTTCTTGAGTTTCAATTTGTGCCCATTGCCTCTTGTTCCTTCACTGGATACCTCTGAGAAGTCTGACTCCATCTTCTTTACTGTCTTCTGTCAGGCATTTATACACATTCCTAGCATCCCCTGAGCCTTCTCGAGTCTAAACAGGCTCAGCTCTTTCAGCCTCTTCTCACATGACAGGTACTCCAATCCCTTAATCATCTTCATGACCCTTTGCTGGTCTCAGTCCCGTATGTCCATGTCTCTCTCGTACTGAGAAGCACAAAACTGGACCCGGCACTCCAGATATGATCTCACCAGGGCTGAATAAAGGGGAATAATCCCTTTCCTTGACCTGCTGACAGTGCTCTCCCTAATGCAGCCCAGGAGGCTATTGGCATTCTTTGTTGCAAGGGCACATGGCTGGCTCACGCTCAACTTTGTGTCTACCAAGACTCCGAAGTCTTTTTCTGCCAAGCTGCTTCGCAGGCTGTACTGGTGCATGGGGTTATTCCTCCCCAGGTTCAGGACTTCGCACTTCCCTTCATTGAGCTTTATGAGGTTCCTGTCTGCGCATTTCTCCAGCCTGTTGAGGTCCCTCTGACCCATCTGGTTTATCAAGCGCTTCTCCAAGTGATTATATTTCTTTTCTTGTTAATCCCTGTACAGTTAGATGGTGGCTGTCCAGGAAGATTTAAACAACTTAAAAGAGAGAAAACATCCAGATCAAAGTACTGTAGTATACTTTGAGTAGCAAACATTTTAATTGAGTAAAATATGTTTCTGGGTTGAGGTGAATGGCCAGTAAAGTGGAAGGCAGAAGCCAAGAGAATGAAACTTCAAATAGCATTAAATAAAGCATTCCTTACGTGGCTATGAGCACACAACTCTAATGCAGGTGAAGTACAATGATGGTCACGGTAGCATCTTGTTTTCCAAATAATAACTTTCTGGAAATGTTTTTTTAAGCACATTCACCTGGAAAATTTATTCTGCAACTGGAACAGTTTATTTTGCAAAATGCTACAGGTGGATAACTTCTGAAACCTACAGTCTGTATCTGCCATGAACTGACAACTTCAGATTCAAATCCAAATCCCACTCCAAATTGGCAGACTGATACTAACCTGTAGAATCACTCTAAAATGCTGACACTTTCAGAGCATTTATACAGAGCTGCCTGATTACCTGCTGGAATTCATTACATTTTTGAAAATTTGCCATGTTAATTGTTAAACTAAACCTTCCTTCCTAATGAGTTGAGCATGAATTAAATTAATTACTGACACTTCTGGGAAATGAAAGCTTTATCAATTATTTCACTAATTTACATTCCAATCCTGCACTTAAGCTTTCTGGGTTTAGCCTGGAGTTTTGCTACAGTAAAGAGCTGCAGAACTGATCTACTGCGTTCTGCCATTGAGTTTTCTGTGTCTCCTGCAGAATTCCCTAGTTGAATGTGAAATCTGTTCTGCATTCAGCTTTAATAAAAAAAAAAAAAAAAGAAGAAAAAGGAAAAAAAAAAAGGACTATGGAGAATGCTAGTCACAGTATCCGGCTGGATACTTTCTATAATTACAAAGTGTGTTTGCTGGCATTCAGTTTCCTGCTGCCTGCTAAATGCTTTAAAAGCTAAATACCGGGATTTTTTTGTGTGTTGCTTTCCATGGTTTACAAACAAGAGAAACTTTAAGATGAGTTATGAACAATATAATTTTATGTATATACAATATTTAAATATTGTACAGACTCTTTCTTTCTACAGTGCTATTTTCTTGTATAAAAATGCTCTTTGCCTCTGTTGATTTCATTCAGTTGTTAATTTTAAATAACATAGTTTCTCAATCAGCTTCTGTAATTATAGGCTTTTAAAGATGGTAAGATATGAAATGCAAAAGGCTGGTCTTATAATAATAGGAAAGAAATGTTGATGTGTCAGACAATACAACATTCTTCCTGCAATGCAAGACATACCAGTTAAGCATATTACAGAAATGCACTAGTATGTTGCTGGGATTTTCATTTATTTGTTTCAGACAGTGACCGTTCCATCTCCAGCAATTTATCATAATAATGGATGAATCCTCCTGTAAAACCAAGTTAAAAATTTGATTGTATGATCTGGATATACAGCTTCTTCACTAGGTTTTGATGTTTTATTAAGGGTGTTCTCTAGTTTAAAAAAAAAAAAACAAAAAACAAAAAAACAAACACACACAAAACTACCTTCTAGAGCCAGGCAACACTGATTTATTGTAGCTGCAGGTAAGACCCGGTCTCTGTCTGCTACTACCACCTACCAAAATTCTTAAAGAAGAGTAGACTTCAGTGTGTTTGCATCCTGTGTTAAACTGAATTGGTCCATTTCTGCACAGATTTGTTTCCAGTGGCCTCAAGTTAACACAGAATTTGGTCTAATAAGTGGCTGCAACCTCCCCCTCTCCCCTCTGAAGAGGAGGTGAACTGCAAGATGAGGTGGCCTGTGATTTTTGTGCTGTTTTTGGCCTGTCTGCAGGGGATGCTAAGGGTAGTTTCTGCAGCTATTTTGAAGCATAGTTCCCTGCACAGTAGCTATTCTCTGCCCTTTCTTATTCACCTTTTGTAAGATCCCGTCTGGATCCAAGCAGGGGTTTGTTGCTGAAATTACCGTAACTGTAAAATGTGGTTTGCATATTTTTGCACTTCCTCATTCAATCTGATGAGAGCACTGTCAGGCTTATCTTTGCAGAGCACTGAACTACTGAACAAACTCCTAGCTGTCCTTGTTGCCCTCTTTAAATCTAAGAATGGAAAATTAGCTTGTCTCTCTAAGGGATTAGAATTGTAAGTAGAATATTATGCTGTGGTCTGTAGTCTATAACCCAGTTAAACAACTTTACGTTGTAAGTGGCATGCGGGTGCCCATTTTGATAAAGGACGTTAGGCTGTAAAATTAATATGAAATTTATTAGGAAATGAGTAATTTTTAGAATAGTAGTTCTGATACTTTTGCAGGACATTCCCTGCAGAGCATTTTTTCGGTAGGGATTTTAGATGACATTGTACAACTTAATGCTGAAAGGACAAGGCCTTCTATCCTTAGGAAAATTAGAAGGTCTTGGCAGAAGTTCTGCTCTAAGCAGCATCTTGCAAGTTTGGGTGCAAGTTACTTAACTCTAGGCTGAAAGTTAGCAGCTAATTGTGATGGATTGATTAGTTGTGCTAGAATATGATAAATGTGCAGTGATGGTTAGGACAGTTTACATTGGTATGAACATACCAATATTTATATACAGGAGTTTTAATGCATTATTATGAGAAGGCTAATTATATATTGCAGAGATTTAATCGCCAAGATAAGCTGCATATTTATGATATGAAGTGGCTTAAGCGGATGAATAGTATAAAAGTTGTTGGGCATAACGTCACAGTACTCACCTGCTTGAAATAGTCTTAAACTATATTATAAAACCAACCATTGTGGTCTTGTTCACCTCTGTGCAAGATAAATTCAGATTTCACTGATGTTTGGAGCTGTTCACAACTTGTCTGGATTGTATCTTGAGTGTTCTTGTGTCTTTGATCATGTCAAATAAAATACCATAAAACTAATTTTTCTTTTTGGGTGTTACTATTTTTATGAAAATGGCTATAAAAAGAAACCTAGTTTATTATGAAAATGAGAAAGGCCAAGTGGTTATACTTGCACTTGGATGCTCCTTTGTATGTGTAACAGCAAAAGTGACACCACCCATATGTACTGCTTGTGAGACTTCTTCAGCCTTTTACATGTGTGGACACCTGAGCCTTTGCCAAGGGCTTGCCGGCCCCTGTGCAGCCTTTGGCAAGAGGCCACTGCATTTTGAGTTCACTTGTGTACTTTCTAGGGGGACTCCATATGTGCCTAAGGTGGAAGTCCACTGCTGGTGATTACTCAACTTCTGTCAAAGCTGGTGTAGCTCTGAGTAGGGTGTATGTTGGAGTTAAGACAGAAAGACTTCGGACAATACCAAAAGCAGATTAGGTATTTTCTG